ACCATGATGTCGAAGGGGGGATCGATAGTTTGAAGTATAATGATGTAGGTTGTGAGACAGATCGTCGGGTCGAGGGGGGTATCGACAGTGAGATCGATCGTGTGACGGATCACGAAGTCGAAAGTAATGTAATAAGATCCACCAGGAGGTCGATCGTGAGCTCCACCATGAAGTCGGTAGTGCGATGGGTCGTGGTATCGCATCGCTCGTGCGACCGAGGAGGATTTGGATATGGAGATGAATGAGGACCTCGAGGTGAAATCGAGCTTGAGATTGATAGTGAGATAGATTGGCAGGTCGATCGGGGGGTGATGGGGAGGTCCATGTGAGAGCGACATGGGAATCTCTCGTGCGATCGATAATGACATCCATCAGCCTCAGCCTCAGCCTCAACTTCAGTCTCCGCTTGAGCCTCAGCCTGCTTCAGCCTCAGCCTGCCTGAACTCAGCCTCAGTCTGCCTTCAGCCTCAATCTTAGCCTCAGCTTCAGCCTCAGTCTGTCTCAATCTCAGCCGCAGCCTCAGCCTGCCTCAGCATCATCCTGCCTCAGCCTCAGACTGCGCCTGCCTAAGCGTCAGCGTCAGCCTGCCTCAGCCTTAGCCTCAGCCTGCCTCAGGCGCAGCTGCCACAGCCTCAGGCTCAGTCTGCCTCAGCAGCAGTCTGGCTCAGCGTCAGTTGTCTCCGTGCATTCAAAGTGTGGCCCAGGAGTGGTGTTCAGGGAAATCGCAGAGCACGAAGTGGCAGACAGTTGGCTCCGGGCATCCAAAATGTGTTCCGAGAATGATGTTTGTGGAGCTCGAAGACCACGAAGTGGCGTACAGTTGATGCCGGGCATCGAAAATGTGGGCTGGCAGTTGTGTTCTGGGAGCCCGAAGAGCTCGAAGTGGCCAACATTTGGCTGTGGGCATCCAAAATGTGGCTCGGGAGTGGAGTTCTGGGAGCTCGCGGAGCACAGAGTGGCCTACAGGTGGCTCTGGGTATCTAAAATGTGGTCTGGGAATCGTGTTCTGGGAGCTCTTAGAGCACGAAGTGGCCTACAGTTGGCTCCAGGTATCCCAGATGTGGTCCGGGAGTGGTGTTGTAGGAACTCGAAGAGCACGAAGTCGCCTACAGGTGGCTCCGGGAAACCAAAAATGTGGTTTTGGAATGGTGTTCTGGGAGCTCGAAGAGCACGAAGTGGCCTACAGGTGGCTCGGGGCATCCCAAATGTGGTTCGGGAATGGGGTTCTGGGAGCTCGAAGAGGACGAAGTGGCCTACAGTAGTGTCGGGGCATCGAAAAAGTTGCTCGGGCATGGGATTTGTGGAAACGTGGAGCACGAAGTGTGTGACGATTTGCTGTAAGCGAGCGCGGCCGTCGCTGCAACCGCTGTTATGTCAAAAGGGCAGGATATTTTGCCAGGTGGTCAGGAATCTTGTTCGCACGCGTGGAACAAACACGGGTGCCAGCGCGGACGTGTGCCGCGGGGGAAGAACAGAGAAGTTCGGCGCACAGAGCGCGACAGCACGTGTGAAAACGGCGTGATGCAGTATCGGATAAAAGAAGCGTGCGAAAAAGAAATGGGTAGTAGGGAATTGCAGAGCGATGTGAAATGGGGGAGGGCAAGAGGAAACACGGGAGCAGACGACTCAGAGAGGAGGGAGGAGAAACTGGAGAGCGGGAGGAGGCGCGAACGGCGTGGCTGGGAGGCAAAAGTGCCGGCGGCGCCAGGGCGAGTCAGCGCGCCATGTCTGCGACAGAAGGGTTGGGAAGGTAGAAGAACGGGAGCAGACGATGCAGAGAGGAGGGAGGAAAGGATGGGAGAGGGAAGGGAGAGGAGCGGCGTGGCAGCAGGGCATATGTGGCCGCGGCAACCCGGCAAGATCCAGGGCGCCGGGCTGGCCCAACTAAACATGCGCGGGCCGCGGAGTCAATGTGATGCCTGAGGATGCGCGCTGTCGTTGCACGGCGCGCCGTCGAAGGACATCAGGGGTCGCGGGCTGATCGGCGCACCGCGCCGAAAGCCAGCAGGGAGGCCTGGCGCTTCGCAGGCGGCTCCCCCACGACGCTCTTCTTCATCAGCGGCGCGTGGCTGGTGGTCCGTGGCGCGTACATCAAACTGCCGCTCATGGAGGAGGGGTCTGGCGCGGCCAAGCCGGTGCGGAACCGGCGCGTTCGAAATTTGCCGCTGGCCGGCACCGCCAGAGCGCCTCCCTGCAAGACGTGCCGTATCTCGCCCACGCGGATCAGGAGGCCGTCGTTGTGCAAGGCCTTGGTCGCCTTCACGGATTCGCACGTCCAGTGCTCGGTGTTGTTGAAGCTGAGCGTGGGGCCTGGGAACTCGAGGCCCTGGAGTTCCGGGCGCGTACGGAGGTGGTCGATCAGGCGAACGCCGAGGTCCTGGCCCTGGGCAGAGCTCCATGTTGCAGGGAATTCCACGGCCGGGTAGGCGAGGCGGAGGTAGGAGTAGCAACTGGGACCCACGGCTCGCATCTGAGAGGCGTCGCAAATCACGTCAGGACAGTCGAGACACATCTGCCAGGCGTGGAAGTGGCTCGTCCCGCCGATGGACATGAAAAAATGCCAGAGACGGTCGGTCGTAGTCATGCTTGGCCACTGGCGGGCCGCGGTCTCCGTCATACTGAATGTGACGGGGGTGCCGGGCTTCTTCTCGGAGGTCTTCAGGAGTACGCGCGCAGTCTGTGCCAGGTCGTCGGGAGCCCCGTCGAGGAACCCTCGCGGCAGAGAGTGCAGGAGGTCCCGGACGGCGATGATGCGCATGCGGAGCTCGATCTTGCTTTCACCGTGGAGGATGCCGTCACCGAGGCTAGTGTTGTCGAGCAGGTGGTCCAAGGCGTCTGGGTCGATGGTGCAGCCACGATCGTACTTGAGTCTGTGAGGGCCTTCCAGCAGGGCGCACACGGCGTCTAAAGAGTACGTCTTGCGGCCGATGTACACGAGCCAAAGATACTCAGGCCAACTTTTGGCTGCAGAGACAATCCGGCGGATCTCCAGGGTAACCTTGTCCAGCTCCCGGGACGTGGCACAGAAGAAAGTATCGGCCATGATAGAAGCAGCCGCCGCTTTGAGCGAGACGGGCCCCTCGGCGGGAACGACCTCGAGAGAGTCTGAAACTATCGTGGGATCGAGGAGGAGCCGCGCACGGTGTCGCCGATCTCGTTCAAGCCACGTCGCTCGGAAGAGAGCGAGCATGGCGTCGTCAACTTGGGACAGGCCGCTTATGCCACAGGCCGCCTCAAAGCATTCCGAGGAGCAGAATACGGGTTGCACGGGTTTGCCCGTGGTTCCATGAGTTTTGAGGTTGTCGTTCAGCAGAAAGCTGCACGAGGGACTCGTGCGAAAGTCGAGCAGGGCGTTGACTGTGGAAAGCTGGGAGCACGAACAGCCTTGGAACGCACATCCAGGCCGGACCATCTCACAGCAGCGAACGTGGCCGAGAAGGCGGTGCAGGCTGCTGGAAGGCTCGAGCATGAATGGCCATGGAGAGGAGGGTAAGCAGGAGCAGGTGCAGGGTGAGTCAGGATGAGCGGGATAGGAAGCCTGTGGGGGGATGCGTTTACTCAGGCAAGCTGATTTCGTGGTATGCGAGCGTGATAGGCTGAGCGTCCTGCAGACGTCAGTGTAGCCGTTTGGGACACATGTGAGGAGGAGGAGGAGGAGGAGGAAAAAGAAGAGGAGGAGGAGGAGGAGAAAGAGGAGGACGAGCAGGAGCAGGAAAAGGAGGAGGAGGAGAAAGAGGGGGAGGAGGACGAAGAGAGGAGGGAAAAGAAGGAGGATGAGGCAAAGGGAGGAGGCGGAGGAGGAGGAGGAAGAGGAGCAGGTGATGTCTGCGCGGCCGTTTGGGACGCTTGTGAGGAGGAGGAGCAGGAGGAGGAGGAGGAGGAGGAGGAGGAGGAAGAACAGGAGGAGGAGGAGGAGGAGGAGGAGGAGGAGGTGGTAAAGGAGGTGGAGGAGGGGGAGGAGAAAGAGGAGAAGAGGAGGAGAAGTAGGAGGAGGAGGAGGGGGAGAAGGAGGAGGAGAGGGAGGAGAAGGGGGAAAAGGATGAAGGAGGAGGAGGAAGTGGAGGAGGAGGAGGAGGAGGAACGAGTCGAGGAGGACGAAGAGGAGGAGCAGGAGCACGAGCAGTTGCAGCAGGAGGAGGAGGAGGAGGAGGAGGAGGAGGAGGAGGAAAGGAGGACGAGGAGCAGGAGAAGAGGAGGAGAAGGTGGAGGGGGAGAGGGAGGAGGAGGAGGAGGAGGAGGAGGAGGAGGAGGAGGAGGAGAAGGAGGAGGAGGAGGAGGAGGAGGAGGAGAAAGAGGGGGAGGAGAAGGAGCAGGAGGTGGAAAAGGGTGGAGCAGGAGAAGGCGGTGTAGGAGGAGGAGGAAGTGGAGGAGGAGGAGGAACGGGAGCAGGAGGAGGACGAGGAGAAGGAGGAGAAGGAGGAGAAGGTGGAGGAGGAGGAGGAAGATAGGAGGAGGAGGAGGAAAAGAGGAGGACGAGGAGGAAAAGAGGAGGAGGAGGAAGCGGAGGAGAAGGAGGAGAAGGAGGAGGCAACAGCGTCGTGGGGAGGGTGTTGTCTGGAAGGTGGAGGCCTAAAGGCAAACCTTTTGGACGCCTTTCTGGCGCCCTGTGCAGTTGGCTGGGGGCCTTGTGTGACCTTCGTGGAGCCTTGAAGGCGTGGTCGCTCTTTGGGGCGTCGCGTGGATTTGGTCGAAGCCTTTTTTTGGAGTGTAGTGGCCAGGGAGAAGCGTTGAGCAATGTAGGGGCCGTCTGGGCTGTGTGGGCAGAGGCTCGGGAACCCGGGAAAAGCGTCGAACCATGTATCGGGGGGCACGGGGATGGCCGTCCGAAGGGTGGCTGGGACTCGTCAGTCAGAGCCGTCGTACACCGTATTCAAGCCGTCGGGGGGGCGTCCTGAGCCGTTTGGGGTGTTTTGGCAAGGAGTCGGCGACTAAGAAGGAGCGGCGAAAAAGGTATCGGGAGCCGTCTGGGCGTCTGGGCGTGTCAGGGAAGAGTGGCGGCGATGGCCATCCGGGGTTCGAAAGGCTGGGTTGGACCGGGGGAAAAGGTATCTGGGGGGGGGGGGGGGGCCATCCGGGGGGGTTTTTTCCTTACAGGATGTATAATTATAGGAATATAGGAGTAGGCCGGGGGGGGGCCCGGGCCGGTGCCGCCCCCCTCCATGGGGGGACTGGGGGGTCCCAGGGCTCCCAGGACTGCCTGGGCCCGCTCCCAAACACGCCACGACACACCAAGAGGGCCCTAAAGATTGCCAAGACAGCCCCAAGAGGCCCCAGACACGCCGAAGATGGCCTCCAGACGGCCGACGACGCTGCCAAAAACGCCCCAAGAGCGCCTCTAGAGGCCCTTCCAAAGGGCCCCAGACGCCGAACATTATGAATTGCCCTAAGGTTTTCCTCGCATTTTTCTGCGCTCTCGGATGTTCCACCTCCCCACGGTCCCAGACGGCGTCAGAGGCCCTTCAGATCGCTTCAAGACAGTCGCAGAGGCTCCCAAGAAAGCCCAGAGACGGCCCAGGAGGCTCCCCAGAGAAGCCACGAGGGCCTCCAGAGCGACCCGAGAGAGCCCCAAGAGGGCCCGAAGAGCACGACATTTCAAGGCCTCCGCCCTGCGAGGCTCGTAGCACGCCCCCAGAGGCCATCAAGAGGCTCCCAAGAAGCCCCGTGAGGCTCCCAAGAGGCCCCCCGGAAGCCCCAATAGGCCCCCAAGGGCCCCCGGGGAAGCACCCTGCGCGCCCCCAAGAGACTTCGGTAAATCGTATTTCCCAGACAGTTTTCCGGGAACATGAATCCTTGGGATTCCGCCCACCATCGTCTTGGGGCGGTTTTGCAGGCGTTTTGGGGGCGGTTTTGGGGCGGTCTCGCAGGCCCCTGGGGCCGTCTTGGAGCGCCAGAAGGTCGAAAAAACGATAAAACAACAAGCATCGAAAACGTATTGGAAATCAATACTTGTGCTTCTTTGGCCCTTCATAGGGGGTCCTCTTCGCGCGCTCTTTGGGTTCCTTTGGAACCTCTTGGGCCGTCTTGGAGGCATCATGAGCCGTCGTGGCGGCTGAGGAGGCCTCCCAGGTCCGTCTGGCAAGCCATGTTTGGCACCGAAGGCGCTTTCACGAACGCCGAGACATGTCTGGGCGCCGACAGAGCCTCGAGAACAGGAGGCGATTCACACAGCGAGGCGCACACAAAGAGCGGAGGGCCCCTTAGCATATTACAGAAGCAATACCAAACAGCACTTGGCATTCGACCACGGCTGAACGTGCCAGCGATTGCACCGCGCCGCTCGGGACTGCTTCGGCTCCAGAGTTGTATGGTACAGTCTAACCTTGTGCTTGGGCTTCGCAGCATCCGCCCAAACATCAACTGCACGTCAACAGGAGTACCTGCAATACACCATGGGACAACTCGCTTAGATACTGAAGCCGTGTCCAGAATCGACAAGAATCTATGCGTGGCGCGCGCGTGGTTCTGGGACGCAGAGGTGGAACACGAACCGACATTTCGAGCCCTCGCCCAAGAGAGGACCCCAAGAAGCCCCCAGGAGTCCCCAAGAGGCCCTCCAGAGGCCCCCAGGAAGCCCCAAGAGGCTTCCAAGAGGCCCCCAGGAGATCCCCAAGGGGCCCCAAGAGGCAACCACGAAGTGCCCAAGAGCCCCCCTAGATCTTTCCACGAGGCCTCCGAAAACTTCCACCATCCATATCCGAACAGGCATCCAGCAGGCCACTGGCCCATCACCCAGGCATGGCTGCCTCAGGTCCACAACCCCAGTTACCAAGACGCTCGGTCTTGGGGAGAGGTGCTGAGGGCGAGGACGACGACGAAGACGACGACGATGATGGCGATGATGATGATGGTGATGATGACGACGACGAGGATGATGAGGATGATGATGTTGACAATGATGATGGTGATGCGGGTGACGATAGTAATGACGATGATGACGATTGCGATGATGACGACGGTGGTGACGATGGTGTTGCTGATGGTGGTGGTGCTGATGATTGGATTGATGGTGATGGTGATGGTGATGATGACGATGTCCATGACGATGGAGATGCAGATGATGGCGATGAGGATGGCGATGGTCCTAGTATATCTGCATATGTATATATATGTATGTATGTATCAGTATCTCTCTCTCCTTCCCTCCCCCTCTCTCCATATCTCTCTGTATGTCACGCTCTCTGTGGTGTGTGTTTCTTCCCTCTCTCTCGTTGTCTGTCTCCCTCTCTCTTTCTCTCTCGTTCCCTCTCTCTCTCTCTCTCGTTTTCGCTCTCCCTTTCCCCTCCTCTCTCCCTGTTTGGTGTCTCTCTCTCTCTCGCGCGCGCTCTTTGTTTGTCTCTCTCTCTCTCTCATTCTCTCCCTCTCCGTACCCCCCTCGTTGTATGTCTCATCCCCCGCGTAGTGATGAGGACGTATGTGGAGATGGAAACGGGCAGAAAACGTTGTATCCATTGCGCGTCACTTCGCATTTCTCCGCCAGCATAAGCAGATCCTCCATGCCATCAGCGGCCTCCTCTCTCTGGTTCCGTCCTTCGTGCCCCAAACAGCAGCATCGTACCCACCACCACCAGCATCACAGCCACCCGTATCACCGCCAGTGTCTTCCATCGCATCCTTCCTACTCACGCTCACCCCCGATGCGATCTCAAATTCACCCTTCCCTTTTCCCGAAGAGGAGATCTGTCGATGATGGGGAAGGAGGATAACGACGTCACTTCGGATCCTTCACCTTACGCATTCACTCCTCGATCAGATCGACAATGTTCCTGATTCCTCCCTCCTCGTCCCCATCCTTCGCCGTCCTCGCCATCATTCCCATCATCGCCGTCGCTCCCCCCCCTATGTCCTTCCCTTTCGCTCGCCATTTCTACTCTTCCTTTCAAGGGGAGGAATGGGCGTGCCGACGATGGGGAAAATGATGGGTGAAGATGCGCGTGGAGGGAGTCTCCTCCTCCTCCTTCTCCTCCTCCTTTCCATCCTCCTCCTCTTCTTCCTCCTCACCCTACTCGCTCGCATAAACACGGCATACCAATTCCATTCCCGAAGAGGGTATATGACGATGGCGGAGGAACATAATCATGACGATGGCGTGGTGCTGGTGGACGGAAGAATGCATGCGCGTTGAAACTTACTTGACGTCGGCGTGACCCACCCATCTCATGCATCTCACAGCGCCACAATATTAGTCACATGCACCTCCTGCCTTACATGAATTGTGCTCGCGATGGTAGCCAGAGTAAGCCCCGGCTCCGTTGCATTTGCTCGATCTCAGATCGATTCTGGCCATGCTTGAATTGCCTTGCAAGTATAGCAGTAGTCATGTGGATGTGCGTTCATGATTTCTGGTCGTCGGCGTGGTCGACTCATCTTATGCATGCCACCGCTTCGCACCAGTGAGTACTACATCGTGAGAGACATGGATAACACAAATGTTGGTAGCGAAATTCGCTGACAACTCCCAAGTTGCAGGACACGTGTTTAAACCATCCCCCAACCCCCACACGCCCCCCCCCCCTTCCCTCCTGCAGGGAAGGGACAAGTTAAGGACATCGACTTCACTACGACGTGATTTTTCCTTGTTCTTCAAGTCCCCTGGGATTGGCGACGACGGCGGCGGCGACGACGACTCAAACGGGAAAGCGTCTCACACACGTCGAAGGGTCGGCAGATTCCTGGAGCCAGGGCTTACTTCCGGAGTCGGCCATGTGTTCTTCCACTCTCTCCCGCAGGGACCGATTTGATCCAGTTCGATATCGATCACGCCCGTGTCGATCCGGTCTGATTCCGATATTCCAGCGGAAGCGGCCCAGTACGGCGTTGTTGTGCACCGTGGCGCGGCCCAGCCGATCCGATTCCGACCCCGTGCCGATGCGGCCCGGTCCGATGTACTTTCCGGTCCTATCCGATGACGATAAGATGTTGACTGTTCTTGCCCTGAATTCTGGGCGTCTTGAAACAAATCACGACGGGCGCTTATTGCAAGCTTCGATTTAATTCGATGCTGACTGAACCTGCCACCGCTTCCTCGTTTTCCTTATCCAGGACGGGGTTGCCCAGACATCCGACGTCTTCATGTGTTCAAAACGTGGACCTCTTGCGGTCCCGACTCGCTCCCGGGACAATTCAATCATGCTGAGCCGATGTTTGACGGTCCGGGGGCCTGGCGAGGAGCCCCGGAGATCGACAAACATATAAATGTCCCGCCATGTTTTTTCCACGACGTGAGGGGGTCTGTGGTCTTGAGGGGGTCCGATCCGATCCGATTTGCCAATAGAAACCACAGTGTGGAGCATATACCGATCTTGTTTTCTGACCACAAGCGTCTATGGGCACATTGGGTGTCGTTACGTACGATGACGCATTCGGGGTGAAAGCGTCCAGAGCCAACGTGGCCGTCGCGTTCGGCGCGGTGCAAGGTCGGAGACTGGGCGGGTCCGTCTACGGCATGCTCCTGCTTTAGAGCAGGTCCCACATGGTGCTCCAAACCCCATCCGGTCCGGTTCCTTCCCGGCGTGGTGATGACCGGCCCCCCGACGGGAGGACCGCGGAGGCGCGCGCCCGCGCGCTGCCCCCGCGGTGCTGGCGAGGCCCCAGCGGCCCCGCCGTCCAGGCGCGCGGCCTCTGGCGGCGTGGCGCGGCCTCGGCCAAGGCACGGCACGGCACGGCGTGGTTCAGCACGGCACGGGCCGTGCCGTGCCTCGTCGTGCCGTACCGCACGGCAGGGAAGGCGGGGAGGGCGGAGGCGGAGGGTGGCGAGGTGGAGGAGGCGGAGGAGGAGGAAGCAGGAGGGGACGGAGGGTGCGGAAGAGGAGGAGCCGGGAGGGGGATGGAGAGCAAGGCGAGGAGCAGGATGATGCAAACGAGGGACGAGGGTGGAAACACCAGCAGTCGAAGACGAATAATCGGCATAAGCAATAGTTGCGGAGGTTCGAGCGGATTTGCTGGATCGGGTTTGGGCCCCTCTTAGCGCGCTCCGCGCGCCAGGGAAGGGGATGCCACGTCGATCCACGAAATTCGCCCAGGCATCCAATTGTTTATACTTGTGCATGTTTCTTCTGTTATGCAGGGGGGCGGAAATTCAGTACGGCCAAGACGTTGAAAGCAGGACCTCTTCGGAGTCAGGAGGGGCTCTGGTTTTCGGCCGCTCCTTAGATCTAGGTCGTGGGACCTATTCGGGGCCGAGGCTCGCCGTGGCCAGCATTGCCCCCATCGCTCCTTAGCCAGAGCTCTTCATGGTAGCACGCAGTACTGCAAGCAGGGAGCGGGGGCGGGGAAAGGGGAATAGCAGCAGCAGCAGCAGCAGCAGCAGCAGCAGCAAGTGGGAGGCCAGCGGCGGCCGCGCACCCCTCCAGTTACCCCTCCCCGCAGGCCAGCCCTGTCACGGGTATCGCCCTCGCCGTCGTTGTGAATCGTCGCTCCCCCCCGGCCCTCTCCGGATAGACCCGCCCGCCCGCCCCTGGCTCGGAGACTCTCAAACGCTGCGGTGACCACACCGTGTGGTGAGTCAGTGGGCATCCGGGGTGACCGCACGGTCTCGGGACCTGCGTCGTTCTCCGAGGACGTCTCGGGCGACCGGGCCCTGCAGGGTCCCCAAGCCGTGCGGTGGCAGGCCGTGCGGTGAGGTCTTTGGGGGTTCCGACGTCACCGCACGGGCTGTGATCGCACGGCTTTTGGAGGCCCGCCCGTGGCCCCGCCCCGCCTGCCGCGCCCTCCCGCGTCGGCCGCCGTGGCGCCCCCACGTCGTCGTCGCGCTCGCTTTGGCCCCTGGCCGGGGACGGGGGGAAAGAGAAGCAGGAGGAGGGAGAGAGCAGGAGAGGAAGGAGGCGGAGGAGGAGGAAGACCAGAGTAAACCCAACAGCATCAACGATGGTGTAATCAGCCTTCCCTCCAAGCTCCCTCTTCATAAGCCCCTACGACGGTTCACATCCACTGAGGGAACTGCCTCGTCGGAAGATAACCGTCTGAAGACTCTGAAGCACGCCACAACAGTGCTCGGGATTCCGACGCCACAAATCAACCTGACTGTTGCGTCTTGACGATCCTGAACCGCGCCAGAACACCATTTTTGGGACTTCAGACTTCAGCACCGCGAACCAAAGCAGCTGTGGCACCCCAGAAGTTAATCCTGAACCCTTTCAAAACATCGTGTTTGGTACGTTCGTACTTGTTTAAAACGATTGGTCATACAACTCTTGCACTTGTTTAAAACGATTGTGCGCGGCGCTGAGTCAAGATCCACAATTTGAAAAGGAACCGCCCTACATCCGTGAAGCTCCTGCAAATTTTAAACATAGAACGTACGCGGCGCTAAGGCCAGAGCCACATGTTGAAAACCACCCGCCCTCAATCCGTGAAGCCCTGGCAGAGGATGTAAACGAATGTGCGCGGCGCTAAGGCGAGTACCACATTTTGAACAGGAACCAACCTAGATCCGTGAAGCTTTCGCAATGTGTTTAAACGAATGTGCGCGGCGCTGAGGCGAGAGTAACATGTTGAAAACAATTCGCCCTCAACCCGTGGAGCTCTTGCAACTTGTGAAGAAGAACGTGCGCGGCGCTAAGGCGAGAGACACGTTTTGAAAACGGCCCGCCCTCCATCTGTGACACTGTTGCCAATGTTTAAGCTTCAGTTTCATACATGCTGAGAAAGTGTCAGGCAACACTCCCCGCTCGCCCTACAAAACTAGTTTCGGGGTGCGACAGGGATCAGTTATTTATAAGGCCAATGATGGGGGAGAAGGGAACAGGAAATGCACAGGAGGAGGGGGAGGAAGAGGAGGAGGAGGAGGAAGATGAGGACGAGGAGGAGGAGGACGAGGAGGAGGAGGAGGAGGACGGGAACGAGGGGATAGATGAGGAGGAGGGGGCGTGAGTAAGGCTTCACTAGAGCTCCGCGCTAGGCCCCGCAGCCAGGGCAACTGCACCCTGCGGCTATCAAACTTGAGGGGGGAGGAGGAGGGGGCGAAGAGGACAAGAGACTCCTGGGCCGCTCGCGGCTGGGCTTGCGCATCCACGAATTTCCGACGGCCCGTCGTCGTCGTCGTCGTCCTGGTCGGTTTCTTCGTCGTCCTTTTCGTCGTCGTCCTCCTCCTCCTCCTCTTTCTCCTCCCCCTCCTCGTCCTCATGTTTCGTCGTCCTCACCACCGTCATTGCCGACCCACCCGCTGCGGGCGGCGACGTCGTCGCCCTCTTCCTCGACCTCGTTATCGTCGTTGCCGTCCGTCGAAAACCGATCACCATATATGTGTACACGTGTATTTGTGTATGTATACATATATACACACACCCGAACCCGTCACCACGGTCCATCCTTGCCGGTTGCCCATTCCAGATCGATGTTTGTGGCCCCTGGGGGCCCGAAGTACCCCCCCCCCCCACCCCTCGGGAGGCCGAAGACATCGAACAATTTCGATCGTCACATGTTGTTCGTCGCCCTCGTCCTCGTCGAGTTCTTGCCGTCTTCGTCGGATTACTTCGGTGCCCTCGTTCCCCTCCATGTCGGAATCGCGCTGTCGCCCTCGTCCTCGTCGTCGCCCTCCTCGAACCTTCCTCGTCACCCTCGCCCTCGTCGAGGTTTGTTCCTCGTCGTCCTTCGTCCTCACTCTGGCCGAAATCTCCTCCTCGTCCTTGTCCGTGCGGGGTGGGGGGGAGCGAAGAGGCCGCGAGGCTGGCGGCGGAGGCAGGGGAGTTCTGGCGCGAAGGGCGCTGGGGGGCCCTCTGAGGACGCGGAGCTCTCTCCCGAGGAGGGGCCTCAGAAGCGCCGCAGCCCCCATCCGAGGCAATTTCTCCGCGTCCTCGGGCTCAGCCCAGGAGACTGCAGCGGCTGTATGGCAAACAACTCGCAGATATTGTCCGACTTGACATGGCGAGCGCATCATAATGTAAAATATGGCGCCACAGGCGAAGTGAAAGAGTGCAAGCCCGATCCTCCTCCTCCTCCTCCTCCTCCTCCTTCTCCTCCTCCTCGTCGGTGCCGAAATTTCGCTGTCGCCGTCGTCCCCGTCGAACTTTCGCCGTCGCCCTCGCCCTCATCGCGTCTTCCTAGCCGTCCTATCCCTGGCCGAAGTCGTCGTCGTCGTCCTCGTCGACCTTTCCCCGTCGTCCTCGTCCTCGTCAGATCTTTCTCGCCGTCCCTGTCCTCGCCCTGGCCGCAATCGCCCTCGTCCTCGTCGAAGTTCCCTCCTCGCCGTCCTCGCCCTCGTCGCAGTCCCCGTTCCGCCCTCGTCCTCGCCGCCGCGGCAGGCGCGCCCAGGCCACTGCTGGCGGCGGCCAGCCCGCCCTGGTGGCGCGCCGCGCGCCTGCTGCGGCTCGCCGCGAGCGCAGGCGGTGCAGCGCGAGGCCCCGCCTGCGAGGGGGGCGGGGAGGATCCTCCTCCTCCCCGTCGCTCCCCTTCCTTGCCTTGTCCTCCTCGTCGTTCCTCATCCTCGTCGTTCCTCTTCCTTGCCTTGTTCTCCTCCTTGGAGCTGGCTGTGGGTTTTAGGTTTCAGGTGGCCCAGCAGCGGTTCTGGCGAGCAGGAATGGAGGGGGGGGAGGGGGGGGGCGAGGTTCGAGGTTCTGGTTTCGGGAAGGTTGTTGACCCTTTTCGGCTTCGGGGTGCCTTATTCGTGCCCCAGGATCGTCAAAAGCGGATCCGGTGCGAAACATTGCAACAGAGAGACCCCAGGAGGGGTCTGGGACCGGTTTTGAACGGATTTGCCTTTCTCACCCTTTCTTGACAGATTTTCTCGGGGCCCACCCAGTTCATACCCCCTGGCCGCTGCCAACCCTGTCATCTTTCTTCTTGTGCGCGGGCTGCTCGTCCTTCCGCCCTCGTTTGTCTTCCCCTCTGCCCCCTCCCGGCTTGTTTTCCACGGTGTTTCGCCCTTGTCTGGTGGCCAGGCGCTTGCATGTTTGCAGCGTCATGATCTAATTTTTGCCACCTTGAACAAGCTCCGGTCCCCCAATCGCAGAGGTCTAGAGCGAGCACATGTTTTCTACTACAGGCTAGGGGTCGAGCCCTGGCGAGGAGGTCGGTCCGTTCTCGGGATATCCTTGTTGTCCGTTAACATCGTTATTGCTCTTCCTATCTCCTTCCCTCTTTATCCTTCCTGAGGGGCCCTCGTCTGCCGTCTGACCACCAGACGTGCCCGTAGGGCGGTGAGCCTGGGAGGAGGAAAGACTGCATGAATATAGGTGTTCGAGGGTCCGCACGGATTTCTTGGATCTGCGCTGGAGCCCCCTGGCCCTGGCGGCGCCTCTGGCGCCGCCCTTGGCGCGCTTCGCGCGCCAGGGAGTGAAGTCCAGCGCAGATTCAAGGATTCCGCGAAGAGCGTCGACAGTTTCTGTTTATGCGAGTTCGTTCGTCCTCTGGAGCCTTCGCCGCTGGCACCGTCTCTGCCGGCGTCGCTGCGTCGATGCCGTCGTCGTCGGCGACGGCGTGACCGCTCGCAGAGGCCGCCGCGCACGCGAGCGCGACAGCAGCTCCGGCAGCGCCGGCGCGCTCCTCGCCGCTGCTGCGCCGCGTGGCGCAGGCCACGAACAGGACGCGCCCGCCGCCGAGGGCCGCTTTCAGCGGGCGATGAACGGTGTAAAGTATTTTTGTTCCGCGATCGAGGGTGGATGGACAGTTTCTGCCCCTACCTGCGACCTTATGGGTATACGCTTACCGGCCGCCCTTGGACAAGCGCCCCCGATGGTGGAACGGTTTATTGCAGACCGTTCTTCGCCCGCTACCTCCTCTTGCGAGGCCCAGGAGTAGGACACCCAGAAACTAGTCGAACATGGGCTTCACCCCGCGGCGGAGGGGAGGGAGGGTGGAGCGGAATTGAGCCCATCACGAGCGTGTTCCCAGCGAAGCAACTGACTACATTAGCACCCCACTCTCCCACCAGGCCTGCGCCAGCCAGAGTCAAGTACGGATTGTCAAGCCCACTGGCTGGAGGAGGAGAAGGTGGAGGGAGAAGGGAAGAGCGGGAGGAGGAGAAGCAGCAGGAGGAGTAGAGAGGAGCGTTTCAGGAGAAGTCAGCGGGAAAAGAGGCTAGAGGGAGCAGGAGGAGGAGGAGGAGGAAACGACGTTGAGCCTGGGCAGCATAGAAAAGCAGGGAGGAGAAGCAGGAGCATGAGCAGGCGGAGGAGGAGGAGGAGGAGGAGAAGGAGGAGGAGGAGCACGAGGGCCCCACACCCCATCGAACCTCCCGCCAAGGACGGTGCGCGCCTGCCGCAAGCTCGTCGCGCAGGGGCAGGCGTGCGCTGCGTCCACCCCGAGCCCGTGGTCGTCGTCGGCGTCGGCGCCGGTGTCGGCGTGGATCGACGTCGTCTGCTGCAGCGTCGTCGCCGTCATCGTCGTCGCCGCCGTCGTCGTCGTCGTCGTCGTCGTCGTCGTCGTCGTCGTCGTCGTGGTTGTCGTCGTCGTCGTCGTTGCGTCGTCGTCGTCGTCGTGTCGTGGTCGTCGTCGTCGTCGTCATCGGCGTCGTCGGCGCCGGTGTCGGCGTCGATCGACGTCGTCGTCTGCAGCGTCGTCGTCGTCGTGGCCGTCGTCGTCTGAGTCGGAGTCGGAGTCGGCGTCGTCGTCGTCGTCGTCGTCGTCGTCGTCGCCGTCGTCGTCGTCGTCGCCGTCGTCGTCGTCGTCGTTGTCGTCGTCGTCGTCGTCGTGGTCGTCGTGTTCGTCGTCGTCGTCGTTGCGTTGTCGGAGTCGTGGTCGTGGGCGTGGTCGTCGTCGTCTTCGTCGTCGTCGTCGTCGGCGCTGGTGTCGGCGTCGATCGACGTCGTCGTCTGCAGCGTCGTCGTCGCCGTCGTCGTCGTCGTCGGAGTCGTCGTCGTCGTCAGCGTCGTCGGCGGCGTCAATCGGCGGCGTCGTCAATCGGCGTCGCCGTTTGTCCGCGTCGATCGGCGCCGTCGTCGGTCTCGCCTTTGGGTGTGGGCCGGACGAGACTCCGAGATTTGGCGGGGGCCTGTATCGTGGAACTCGGAGTCGCCCCTTTGAGGCGGCCGCCCAGATGGAGGCACCTCGATTTTGCTGTTCTTATCCGTAAGGGTCGCCCCATGCCGCCGGCCCCCTGTCTCGGATAATGGGAGATGAAACTAAATCATGAGGTCTGGGCGCCGCCACGAAGCAGCGTCGGGACTTGTTTGTTCCCGGAAAGGGCATGGGCCCAGGGTTCTCTTTTAGTTTGTTTATTTCCCGGTTTTTACTTGAAGGGGGCCGGCGGAATTCTTGTGCGATACATTACGAGGTCGAAGGGGGCCGGCGGATTTCAATTGTGAGGACGAAGGCCATTTTTCGCCACCCCTCACGCAGATCGTGCTCTTGGAATTCTTTACGCTTCGCGTATCCCCACCAGCCCATCTCACAGCAGCAACTCTCGCGAAGCATGCCGACAGTCGTGTTTTTCACGCGTGTGTCCGCTTGGCCCCGCATATCTCCCCTGTTCCTCCTTCCTCCCGCCTCCTTGTACATCCTCCTTGTGGGGGGAGCGGGAGAAGGACGAGGCGAAGGAGGAGGGAGAGAAAGCGCTCCTCGTGGTTTGAGTCGTTTGGGGTTTCTCGTCCTGGTCTGAGTCGTTCGGGCCCTTCTTTCTGGTGTGAGTCGTTCGGGCTCTTCGTGGTGTGAGTCGTTCGGGCTCTTCGTCCTGGTGTGAGTCGTTCGGGCTCCTCGTGATGTGAGTCGGAGGCCTCTTGGGGCGTCTTCGGCGCCTCGTGGGGCCTCTTGGGGGCCTCTTGGGGGTATCTCGGGGGCCTCATGGAGGCCTCGTGGTGCCTCCTGGGGACCTTCTGTGGGCCATCTGGACCATCTGGGGACCTCTTGGGGCCACACGGTGGACCTCTGGGGGCCCTCTTGGATGGCTTGTATGAGCGCTGCCCCTCCTCCTGGTGTGACTCGTTCGGGCTCCTCGTGGTGTGAGTCGTTCGAGGCCCGCGTCGTGGTGTGAGTCGTTCGGGGTCCTCGTGGTGTGAGTCGGTCGGGCGCCTCGTCCTGGTATGAGTCGTTCGGGCCCCTCCTTGTGGTGTGAGTCGTTCGGGCTCTTCGTGGTGTGAGTCGTTCGGGCCCCTCGTCCTGGTGTCAGTCGTTCGGGCTCCTCGTAGGGCCTCTTGGGGGCCTCTAGGGGGCCTCTTGGGGCCTCTTGAGGGCCTCTTGGGGGCCTCTTGGGGGCCTCTTGGGAGCCTCTTGGACGCCTCTTGGGAGCCTCTGGGAGGCATCTTGGGGCCTCTTGGGGGCCTCTTGCGACCTCCGCAAAAGCGCAAATGAGCGCGAGCCCCTGCGAAGGACAAAATGGGCCCAAAACCTTCGTAAAATCAATGATTTTGAGAAGAAGGAAGAGGAACGCTGCCCCCTCAGAAGGCCAACATGGGGCCGAAACCGTAGTAAAATCAATGATTTGGGCTTCACAGAAGAGGAGAGGGTTTTTTCAGAGCCCCCCCGTCGGGGCCAGAATCCTCGTGAGGGTCGTAGTTTTTTGGCCCTCCCAGGAGTCGAAAAAGACCCCCCTGAGAACACTCGGGACTCCCTGTCCAGGCCCAGGGGGAGGGGGGAGGGGGAGGGGTAAACCCCTCCCCGAAGGGGAAGAAGGGGGTTGGGGGGTTGAGGACAGAGAGAGCTCTCTAAACCACTCACGTCCAAAGGGCTGGTGGGATTTTACTGCCTTTAACGAAACCTCGATATTTCATAGGTGAAGTCCACTTTTTTCCGACATCGACTTTAAACGATAAAAAACTAGGTAAACGCGTTCGCTCGATAAATAACGAGATACCGCGGCCTCCGGAACGGCGCTGGGAACGGAGTTTTGGATTCTTGAAGTTGCATCAGTTCGGAAATAGCAGAAATCCCCTGTGTTTTTTGACCCTGACCCCGCCGATCTGCGTGAGGTGTGGCACGGAACACCAGAAATGTGTCAAATCCCGTATGTTTTTGGACCCTGACCCCGCCGATCTGCGTGAGGGGTGGCGCGGAATTCCAGAAATGTGGCAAATCCCATGTGTTTTTGGACCCTGACCCCGCCGATCTGCGTGAGGGGTGGCGCGGAATTCCAGAAATGTGGCAAATCCCTTGTGTTTTCGGATCCTGACCCCGCCGACCTGCGTGAGGGGTGGCACCGAATTTCAGAAACGTGGCAAGTCCCATGTGTTTTCGGACTTTGACTTCGCCCAGGAGGGCCCAGGAGGCTCCAGGAGAGCCCAGGAGAGCCCAGGAGGGCCCAGGAGAGCCCAGGAGGGCCCAGGAGGACCCAGGAGGCTCCAAGAGGCACCAGGGGGCCCAAGGAGGGCCCAGGAGAAGCTCCAGGAGGCTCCAGGAGAGCCCAGGAGGGCCCAAGAGGTCCAAGGAAGACCCAGGAGGGCCCAGGAGCCCTTACGAGGGATCGTGGCCCTGGGAGCGCTGACGCAGCGTAATTTACGAAGGATCGTGGCCCTGGGAGCGCGGGTGTAGTGTAATTTACGAGGGATCGTAGCCCTGGGAGCGCGGACGCAGTGTAATTTACAAGGGATCGCGGCCCTGGGAGCGCGGGCGCAGCGTAATTTGGCATCCTGGTCGGGCCTCCTGAGGCTTCCTGGGGGCCCGTGGTACACACATCGCAAGGTGTGGCAACCCCGCTTGCGCTCGAGTGCGACCCCGCTATTGCACTTCACTCCCAGCAGTTATCCTGGGCGCCCTGGCGGCGCCGCGCCGGCTTCCCCTTCTCCATCTCCTTTCAGTTCTTCCCGGAAAGGGCGGGGGCCCAGGGTTCTCTTTTAGTCGTTTACCCCCGGAATCGACGAGGTTGAAGGAGGCTGGCGGAATTATTTTTGAGGATGTCTTGAGCGAAACGCTTGTTGTTTTCAGAATGTGTTGAGGATGTCTCGAGCGAAACGCTTGTTTTCTGTTATAGGTTGTCCTCTCCTGGGGACCAGAATTCAGAGGATCTCTGAAATGAAATGCTTGTTTTCACGTGCCCAGGTCTTGAGGATTTCTCGAGCGAGACGCTTGATTTCACGCCTCCAGGTTGCCCGGACAGATGTCTAGCATGAGGATTTGTTGAGGATGTCTCGAACCAGAGGCTTGTTTTCACGTGTCCAGGTCGCCCAGGCGGGTGTCTAGCATGAGGATGTGTCGAGGAAGTCTCGATCGAGACGCTTGTTTGAACGTGTCCAGGTTGCCCAGGCGGATGTCTAGCATGAGGATGTGCTGAGAACGTCTTGAGTGTCCAGGTCGCCCAGGCACAGCACAGCCCTCGGCACGGTACATCAATATCGAGACCCTTAGCACTGCAGCCTGGCATGTTGCCTGGCACGTTCCGCGGAGCGTCCCGTGGCGAGTCCCCCTGGCACGTCGCGCGGTGCACGTCCATTGGCACGTTCCGTAGCGCGTCCCCTTGGCACGTCCCGCGGTGCGTCCCGGTGGCACGTCCCCTGGCACGTCGCCTGGCGCGTCCATTGGGGAGTTCCGCGGCGCGTCCTCCTGGCATGTCCCCCTGTCGATTAGTTCTGGGGCAGCTACCATCTGCTCAGGCAGCTCAAGCTTAAGATCCAGATCAGTTCGGTCAGGACTCGGATGCAAAGAGAACTCGATCCACAACGCTATGTAAAGCACAATCGCGGCATGACACATCGCAGTTCAGCACGGCCATCACAGCGCAGCCGTCGGCACGGTACATTAGGATCGATACATTCAACATTGCATCTTGGCACGTTCCTTGCCGCGTTCCTTGGCGAGTCCACCTGGCACGTCGCGCGGGGCATCCCCTGGCACATCCCGCGGCACGTCCATTGGCACGTTCCGTAGCGCGTCCTCTTGGCACGTCCCGCGGTGCGTGCCCATGGCACGTCCCCTGGCACGTCGCCTGGCGCGTCCCTTGGGACGTTCCGCGGCGCGTCCTCCTGGCATGTCCTCTCTGTCGATCGGTTCTGGGGCAGCTACCATCTGCTCAGGCAGTTCGAGCTTAAGATCCAGATCAGTTCGTTCAGGACTCGGATGCCAGGGAGGACTCGATCCACAACGCTGTATAGAGCACAATGGCGGCATGGAACATCGCAGTTCAGCACGGCGTAGCACAGCACAGCCCTCGGCACAGTACAGCAAGATCGATACATTCAGCATTGCATTTGCCCGTCGCCCAATCAAGTGTCTTTGAATCGTTGCCATGCCTTACATTTCTATATTCCTTTCCGGGTTCGTGGGTCGATCATGTTACGTATCCAGGCCACCCAGGGGGGTATCTAAAATGATTGTTCTGAGCAAGGACCACGTGTTGTAACGAGTCCAGGCTACCCA